CTCCCTTGGCGTCCTCTGCTGGCCGCTGCCCGTGAGACTCAGACGGCGCTTCGTCGCCGCGTTCCCTCCTTCCCTGAAGAGGGGAGGAGGAGGAGGAGGAGAAGGAGGAGGAGGAGGAGGAGGAGGAGGAGGAGGAGGAGGAGCAGGAGGAGGAGGAGCAGTCCCCCTGTCGCCCCCCCGGTCGGTTTTCGGGTCATATATCTCGGGCCTTTGCTGGCCGTCCGGGACGATCCTGGCACTTCCAGAACGCTCTCGGCCCGGCGCGGCTACTGTAAGGACCGACGAGACCGACGAAACCTTTCGAAGACTTGCTCCTCCAGCCCACCCTGGGTGCCGACAGGTGGTCGTCCCCATCATGGGCTTCACCTTCGCCGTCTTCACGGAGCGCGCCGCGCCCAGAGTCCGCGGCCCCCGCCAGACCCCAGCACGCGCGCGGTCGCCGTCGCGGGGTGCCGATGATGATGAGGAGGATGGTGATGGTGATGGTGATGGTGGTGGTAATGGTGGTGGTGGTGGTGATGATGATGAGATAATGATGTTGATGATGATGATGATGATGCTTGATGATGATACTGATAATGCTGGTTACGATGGTGACGCTGCTGCTGCTGCTGCTGCTGCTGATGCTGATTCTGCTTATGGGGGTGGTTGTGGTGGTGGTGCTGATGATGCTGCTGCTGATGCTGCTACTGATAATGATGACGATGATGATGACGATGATCATGACGATGCTGCTGATGATGGTGGTGATGCTGATGATGCTGATGATGATGAGACGGGGCTGATTACCATGATGCTGATGATGCTGATTTTAACAGTTTCTGGCCAGCTACACCGGTAGCCCCTCCAGAAGAGCGCCAAGTATCGCATGTGGTTCGAGAAATGTATCGTGCCGAGCAATGCGGCGCGCCAACGTACAAGCGTGAAATTTCAGACAATCAGAAGTATGAGGAACGTAAGCGAAACGTATGAGTATCTCATGAAGAATACATTCGTATCGTATTTTGTTCACACTTCGGATCGGGGTTTGTATTTGTTTCATACTTTTTCCATACCTTTTTCACACTTCGGGTCTGGGTTGGTACTTTTTTTCGTACTTTTCCATGCGTTTTTCACACTTCGGATCTGGGTTGGTACTTTTTGTAACTTTTCCCCCGTACTCGCTTCACACTTCGTGCCCCAGTTCGTATTACACTTGTAGTAATTTCAGTTTGTACTCAATTCACACTTGTACTTCCAGTTTGTACGCGTTTCACACTGAGTCGGTGCGGTCGTACTTTTTTGTTCTCTCGGTTTGCACTTTTTTCACACTCGTACTTTCGTTACTTGCGAATGTCGTACTTTTTCCATACTTAATCCGTACTTTGCCGAACACCAGCGATCGACCACTCTAGCTGGCTTGGAAACTGTCAATGGTGATGCTGATGAGGATGATGATCAGGATGATGCTGCTGATGATGATGATGATGCTGATGCTACTGTTGATGATAATGATGTTGATTATGATGATGATGATGATGCGGCTGATGATGACATTGATGATAGTGATGATGATGACGATGATGATGACGATGCTGATGCTGATGATACTGCTGTTGCTGATGATGCTGATGACGACGAGGATGATGATGACAATAATGATGCTAGAGTTGATGAGGATGACGATTATGTGGTGATGATGGTGACGCTGCTGCTGATGCCGCTGATGATGCTGAGGGTGTTGATGATTCTGATGCTGCTGCTGATGATGCTGCTGATGATGCTGCTGCTGATGATGATGCTGATCATGATGATGTTGCTGATGATGATGTTGATGACGATGATGTTGATGATGCTGATGATGATGGTGACGATGCTGATGATTATGCTGATGCTGATGCTGGTGATCATGCTGAAGATGACGAGGATGAATCATAATACGATGATGATGCTGATCATGATGATGATGATGCTGATGATGCTGATGCTGATGCTGATGCTAATGATGCTGCTGCTGATGATGACGATGATGGTGATGCTGCTGACGATGATGATGATGATGATGATGATGGTGGTGGTGGTGATGATGCTGATGATGGTGATGATGATGATGACGATGTTGATGCTACTGATGATGATGATGATGACGGTGATGATGATGATGATGATGATGATGATTCTGATGATGATGCTGCTGCTGATGATGATGATGCTGATGCTGATGCTGATGCTGATGATGATGATGATGATGATGATGATGATGATGATGATGATGATGATGATGATGATGATGATGATGATGATGATGATGATGATACTAGTGCGCGCACGTCTTGTCTCAGTCCGTTCCGTAGCGTGTGTTGCTCAAAGGGGTCTTTGGATGCACATGCCAGTGGATCCTGTGCTCTTGTACACGCTCACCCGAGACTCTCTGTTTGGTCTGCGTAGTCTCTTCTGGCAGCCAGTGGCGCCCGTCCACGACGGCCCATCCTGCTAGTGTCACTGCGTGAGCTCGAACGAGGGCGAGTGTCCCGCGCTCGAGCGCCTGGTCGCCCAACAGCTCAAGGGCCAGGCCGCCAGGACTGTCGCCAGCGGGACTATCTTCCAGGTGAACTTTGTGGTGCAGTTCGGTTTCATCATCGTGGCCTTCGCGGTCGGCGTCGTCGTTGGCAGGCTCCTCCCCGTTCGTGCTGCCCCTCGCATGCACGCATTGAACGAGTGCGGCGGCACTGCCATTGTCGGGCCCCGCGGCCCTGGGCGCTCAAGCGGCGGTGTTGTCGTCGTTGGTGTCGTTGCGTAAGGTCCTTGTTCGATATGATAACGATTTGTGGCACGTCCGCATTATGCTCGCTCCTGTGGCTGATGCACGGTGGGTCATCTACAGTCCAGATGTGGACATGTATACTGGAGACGTGACGGGTGTCCGTGAATTCCGCCCTGACGGTACCATCCCGGTGAGTCTGAGAGGTGCCAACATCTACATATTCGGTGCTGGTCGGGCGCCCGACCAGGCAGCTCTCAGAGGGCTGATGGAGGAGGCGGCTGATCTTGTGGCGCTCGCTGGCGGCGCTGTCACTGCGGCCGGGGCGGTGCCCGAGGTGTGGCTCTTCGTGGAGTCGAACGCCACCGTCGCCATCGGAGACGACTGTATGTCCGGCCCAGAGGTGGTCCTCGACCAGAATGGGCTGGTGCGCTCCGGAGGAGACATCCTAACGGTAGAGAGCGTACCCAGGGCGACGGTCCAGCAGTGGAAGCGAGCGCGTGCTGGAACCATCGATGTCAGGGTGATGACGGTGAAGTTCAATCCAGCAGACGAGCGCTTCCGGCCGCGGTCCAGCGCCGCCGAGGCGACCAGCGAGAGTGCGATGAACCACTGGCCAGTGAATGGGGCCACTTACAGCAACTTTGGTTACTTGATTCATGGTTCACTGCAACAATGGTCCAGAAAATCATCATCGGTGTGCTCATACCTCGAGGCGGCGGGCAGCATGCATCAGTTCGGCGTGTCGAACATTGTGGTGATTGAGAAGGTAGCCAGACGGCTGCAGACACTCGAGTACCAGTATGCTGAGATATTGCGAGATGGAGAGCGTGGGGGCGCTGCTGGAGCTGCCGCGGGTGTTGCTGGCAGTGCGGTCATCGGTCACGATGAGATGGACTTTCCGAATGGCGCCTGCACGTCAACCCAGCAGTGTGCTGCGCGCCGTGCCCGGTCGAGCACGTGAGCAAAGAACTTGAGAATGAGTCGCAGATCCAGAAACAGGCCAGGGAAACACGAGAAGAGCGAGCCCTCCTTCGCCAACCCCCAGGCAAAGGAGGTGGATGCCGTGGTGGGGGCGGCAACGCACGAGCGCGCGCGAGGCTGGTGGAGATGGCCCCGTCAGCCAGCAGCGCAGCGAGTCCCGTCTTGCAAGCTGTTTAATTCGTAGCGTCCGTCGAGTCGGCTACTTTCGTCGGCGGGGCCCTGGGAATCTGAGCCCCGAGTAAGAGCAGCGGGGCCAACGGCCCCAGTCCGTGCGCAGAGCCGGCCTCCTGGGCTGAGTGGTCCCCCAGTCTTTCCAGAGCAGTGGGCGTCTGGGCTAAGCCGCGACGCCGCAGCCGCCTTGGCTGAGATGTATCTTGGCGGAGCCTCTAGCCCCTCCACCGGCGCCGTTGATTTTCTGGGCAATTGCGAGGGTGGGGGGCCACTCCGAGAGCGTTGCAGTGGGATGGGCGCCCCCCCTGTTGGAGCTCAGCCGGCCGAGGCATGTTCGAGCATCAGCAGTGGGCAGGCGTGACTACTCTGGGTCATCGCCAGCCGTTCCCCTGGACGAGCCCGTGCTGTCGCTTGGGCCGCTAGGGGTGGCCCCCGTTGACATGCGTTGACTTCGCGGCCCCAGTGGTCGGGGGGAGGTCCAGGGATGGATGCGCGAGCATGTGCTGCCAAATTCAGTTGGCGAGCGGAGTTTCGAAGCGAGTGGCGTGAAGACCTGCAGCGACCCAGGGCTGCGCAGATCTTCTCGGCGGTGCGCCGTCGTCTTGCAGATGTTGTGCGCTCGGGGCGTGGTGGAATTCGCGCAGGGGGAGGGGGGGCGCTGCTCGCGTTGGCCTGTTCCTGTGCGCAGTAAGAGGTGTGCTCAGCGTCTGATTGCCGACTGTCGGCAGTCAAATGATGGTTCTCGAGTAGCGGTCGCATGGAGTTGCCGACGTCGGGGGGCCCCGTCGAGATTGCGGCTCTCGGTCGCAGAGCAGCTGCGCGCCTGGCAGTCGGATTGAAAATGCGTTTTCTTTCATTTCGGAACGCCTTCCAGTTTGCGGAGATTTTCCATTTGCCCCGTATCGAGGAGAAGTGGTTGAAGAAGCTGCTTCCCGGCGTCGTCTGCGATAACCGCGTGGCCCGACCCCGCTTGACTGTCGCGCCGATGGGTCGGGGCCGCGTTGTGCTCTGGTGCCGGACCATTCGCGAGAGGATGTTGAGCCGGGCCTTTGCGGGCTTCTGTCTTCTGCGGGATCTCCGGCCAATCGGCGGCGTGGAACATGGATGCTTCTCGGTCTACGTTGGCGACGCCGGCGTTTTTCTCCACCTCCCCGGACGTATGTCGGGACATCGCGGAGAGGTCGTTAACGCGTGGTTCGGAGTGTTGGTCCGGGGGCTCACGAGGTCAACGTCGTCAGTGTCGGCGGGGAGCTCCTGGGGCCCAGTGTTTCTGGGGGTGGTCGTGTCGTTCCAGGGCGCGCGAGGCGATGGGGGGCGCGGCTGGCTTTGGAGTTCCTCCTGGGACGTCGTCGCTGTTCGGGGAAGGCGCTTCTGAGAGACTTGGGGCGCGCTGCTCGTCGAGCAATGCTTCGACCAGATCGGCCCTCCAAATGGTGGCCTGGTGTGCATCGGGGGCTCCAGCCCCCCTCGTCGAGTGTGACCTCGCCGAGCCCTTGAGCCCGAAGGCCTTCGCGTGCGACGCGCCCCCGTGGGGTCTTGGGATATGCGCTTCGCGGCCGCTTGCAGAGGTGCTGGATGGAGCTAGTAGGTGCTCTGACCGCTGGCACTTCGTGTGGGGGGGGGGGGGGGGGCGGGGCCAACCCTCGGGCCGTGCTCCTTGATGGGGGTCGCAGAGACGAGGGGCCCGACGACGGGGCTTTTGTGATTGTCTGTTGCAGGGTAGATCGTGCTCCTGGCCTTCATGCAAGTCTGTTGCGCGCGAAGTGGCCCGCAGAGAGCAGCCGAGCTTGGGGGCGAATCGAGCTCGTCACTTGGTGTGGGGGCCTAGCGTTAGTGGGGGTCGTCGGGACAATCGCCAAGAGCAGAGAATGCGTCCAGACGCGGGCCCTCGTTCCACGGATTTTATGGCTGCGTTGCTTCCGGCTCAAAAAGGGCGGTCGAGTGCGCCTGGGCAGCGCCGTGCCGCTCGCCAGTTGGATTCGGTCCTCCTTCGATGGAACGTCCAGCTGTGTCGTGATGGGTGCCTGGCGAGGTGAACGTGGCTGACGCCCCCTCCAGACGCGGTCGACGGCGTGCTGGTGCGTCGGCCCGTGGCAGGCCCGATCGGCGTGGCTGGGGCTTCGCGCGAGGAGAGAGTGCCTTCGCGGAGTGGCGCCGTCGGGCGAGGCCTCGCTCGGGTGGCTCCGCCCTCGGCGAGTCCGCCAGGGCAGCCGCTGCAGGGGCCGCCGCTGGAGGCCTACCGGGGGGGGGCTCTCCTCCAGAGGCGGCGGCCAGCTCCCGCGTCGACGCCGGCGCGCATCCAGAGTCGGGCTCGTCGGACGCAAGACGCTCGCGGAGGAGTTCGGGCGCTTCCAGGGAGGGCGGTGGTGGAGACCATCGTGGCGCGGGCGCCCGCGAGGCAGTCGTGCCTGCGCCGGCCAGCTCGGCTGGCGAGGCGGTCGGGGATGGTGATCGACCCGAGCATGGTGGGCGCAGAGCCCGACGAGGTTCAGGCTTCGCTCGTCGGATTCCTCGGTCGGATGAGCGCGGCGGCGCTGGACGCACCAGTGGCCGAGCACCTCTGCGCGGATTTCTTCGAGGGGGCGACCGGGGGCGAGGGCGGCCGGCTGCTGGCGGCCTTTTCGTGGGCCTGCGCGAGCGTGGGCATGCAGGTCGTCGGCCCTTCCCGGGCGAGGGCGTGCGCCGTCGCGCTGCGGCGGCCGGCGCCGGGCGAGTCGAGGCTTCCCGTGCACGAGAGCGCCCGCTTCGCGTTGGCGAACTAGCTGGTCGCGCGAGGGGGCTCCAGCAGGGTGTGGTGATCGCGGTGGCTCGCCGCTGCTATTTGCGCCTCGGCGAGTTGTCTCGCGCGACCTGGGGCGCGGTGCGCCCTCCAGTCAGCGCGAGCGGACCGGGGACCACGGCGACGCCGGTGCTGCGCCCGTTCGAACAGGGAGTGAGCTTCAAGACCGGCGAGTTCAGCGAGATGGTGGAGATCGACTGGCCGCCGCTGGTTGCAGCGTTATTGCTGCTCCGACGCCTTCGGCCCCCCGCAGAGTGTCTGGTGTCCCCGGGCGAGAGCGTGGCGCAGATCGCGCGGGGGCTCGGCCTCGACGACGCGATCGACGAGTTCGTGATGCGCGGGCTCCGACGCTCAGGGCCGAGCGCCGACTTCCTGGCGGGCAGGCGGTCGATCGCGGAGATCAAGCAACGGGCCGCTGGGCGTCAGACAGCAGCGCGAGGAGGGCCAGAGGGGGGCCGCATCATCGAGCTCCGCGGTCGGTGTTCTGCTCAGATGCGAGAGTGCGCCGCGAAGTGTTTGCCAGCTGCGCCGAGGATCTTGTCGAGCGCGGCCGCGCCGCTGCTGGCTCCTGCCAACCCTCGCGCACGATGGCCCTCCCTTTCTTTATGGGGATCTTCTCAGGCGCGGCTGGAGCATCTAGAGCGATTGCACGGATGGGATATTTGGCCTTTGCGATCGACGCGCGTATCAGCTTGAAGCGTGATATTTGAGGCTTTGTGTTGGGCAGTCACGTCGGTGCACTGTGCATTTTCCTGGCCCAGACCTCGAACCCGACCTAATGGGCCCCAGCCCGTGATAAGCAAGGAACACATTCTCCGGCCCCCCGTACTTCGTAACGAGAATGAGAGGTGGAGGATCGAGATTGGCAACGTCGCGATGAGAATCACGGTGACTATTGCTTTGGCGTCTCTGCGCATGGTTCCGTACTGTACCGAGAATCCGCGTGTATCTTTCTTGTGCCCCCCCTTAAATGATTCATTTTACAAAGAAGCGGACGCATTGTGATGAAGAGAACTGACTTCTGCCAGCGGGGAACTCTAGGATGAAGCCTACGCTTTTGGTGAGCTGCTATTCGCCAGTTGAGCCCTTGGGCTGTAGGTGTAGACTCTGCAGGGGGAGGTGTTCCGAAACTAGTAAACCACACGTGTTGACGGGCAAAAGCAACGATCGAATTCTGAGAACCCGAGAGGCCGAGGATTGCCCAAAGAGTTTTCCCTCGCCCTTGCCAAAGAGGATTCCTCGTGCGGTTTTTGAAATCTCGAGGCTTCTTCCTGGTCTGCTGTGCTATAATATGTGTATCTAGGGGAGGGGCCCACCGCCGCCCCTTCTCCTCCATGGTAGAGTTGTTTTCATGTTGGGAGCGGGGAGCTTGGCTTCTGAATTCTGTGAGTTGTTAGAGCAGCGCCCCCCATCGGGGCGTTGGTGCGCGCCGCTTGAAATATACATCTGACTGCAATGCGCGATATGGAAAACAAGGAAACTGCTCTCGGCTGGCCGGCGTCGTCCTGCAGGCAGTGTCTCAAACTAAGAGATGGTGGAGGCTGCTGGTGCGCGCGCGTCTTGCCTCGCGTTTGTTGCTCCTTCCCACGTCCCTAGCACACTTGACATCCTTGTACCACTGGAGCGGGGAGTTTGCCATCCGGATTCTGTGAACTGTTTGAGGAGCGCTCCTCGTGTGGGAGCGCAGATCTTCGCTTCAGAATTCACTGGGTCGTTTGAGCAGCGCCAGTCATTCGGGCGTTTGTGCGCGCCGCTTGAGATATACATCTGATTGCGTTGCCCTGGATGGAACATGAGGAAACTGCTCTCGGCAGGCCGGCTTTGTCCTGCATGGAGTATTTCATGCCAAAAATGATGGAGGTTGATGATTCTGATGACGTTGATGAGGGTGATGGTAATGGTGATGCTGATGGTGATGCTGGTGGTGATGACGATGATGA